ATATAAATCTGTTTTATGAAACCAAGGAAAGGAATTCTGAATGTTGAAATATATGTGTAAAAACTGAATCGAAATAAATTTTTGCAAAAGTGATTTAAATCACTGATTTTTATTTTAAAAATCAAGTTGATTTAAATATATAAAATCAACTGATTTAAATTGACCTGATTTAAATCAACCCAACCCTGCGGGGGTGTGGCCGCTGCGCATGCTGCAGCTCCGTGGAGCCACAGGTGAGAGTTGAGTGCCAGGTGGGAACCTATGTGTAGAGAGGGCTGTCCTGAAAAAGACAGGGCAGGCCTTCCCCATACAGAGGTACTATCCCTCCCTGACCCTCAACAACACTAACAGAGTACTGCTTACATTATAAGCATTGGCTTCAGTTATTTTTGTTTTCTTTCTCTTTTGGTATGTAAAAATTGAGTGTCACTTGTAACTAACTCATGTGTAATTTGTAAAGCGCAGCCCCTCCATAAAACGCGTCACCCTCCAGCAGGAACGCGCATCCCCGCTGATTGTCGCACACACCTGTTGTCTCTTTGCCACACAAATACCATTGCTGAGGGAGAAGGGCAAACAAAGCAGGCATAGCGCGCTGGGCCGATGATAGCAGACGAAATTTGCTTATCACCAGTCACTGAGGGGTTAGGGGACTGGCAAGGTGACTTTACAGTGGAAACCTTATATAACAAGGATAATGGGACCAGAGAAAAAGTCCTGTTATATCAGATCCCTGTTAAATCGGAAATGCAAGGAAAGTAAGCATTTGTTGACTAATCCAGCTTTATTTGTTCATGGGTAGTTTCCCTTGCCACAAGTACCCACGAACAGGGGTTTTGGTCATATGTCAGGCCTGCGCATGACACATTACGCGTGCATGTAGCTAGGCAGAGGGCTAGATCGAAGTCTGCAGCACACCCAAGGAGGTTATAATACAGTAATGGAGGCTGCTCTGTGGGCGACAACGCACGCCTGATAGAGGCCCTCTCTCGCAGCGGAACTATGGTCTACCTGCGCTGCGCGTCTTTTTCACTGAACTCTAGATAGGAAAGAGAGTTCTATTCTGAAGTCCTTGAGATTAGGAAAGTCAGTAGACTTACATGTATTTATTTATTTTTAAAAAACCCTTTTATGGCATTACTATTACTGATGTTAAAATATAGTAAGGTCCTTTAGCACATCGCAGCCCTCTCTCGCTTCACCCGCTGCATGTGCTTGCAGTCAATGGCGTGGCTTGCGTGGGCTTGCTCCATCACTGCGTTACTCTCTTTCTCTTACTTTTTACACATTATTAACGAGTCCTTGTCCTTGCAATAACTGATTGGGCTCTGATGGGGGGCCCTGTTATTGCCAATAAAACTTTTAATAGAGGTAAAGAGTAGGAAAAAACTGAGATTTAAAAAATCCTGTTATTACCGGCCGTGTTATGTATATAGTTTCCACTGTATGCCTAGGATAGTGTGGACTACTGCCTCTACTCTAGACTTAAGTTAGTCTAAGAATCTAGCACCAATAACAATTTAAAAAATTATTTCGAAAACAAAAGTTTGTATAAAAGTATATAAGCAAAAAGCATGTTTTCCAGCGCAAACGAGTTCTACTTTCACTCTGTGTCACTTGACACTGCCTTTCATAAAAGCCATAAAAACAAGGATGCTCGTTCTGCCTCTGAATCTCTGAATCTATTTCTTCATCAGTTTCGCTTAATTATACATGTATGTTTTTGATATCTTGTGGAAGTTTCACCAGTTTCCATTAATTTTTTTGGAAATAATGGTATTCTTTTACTTTCACTCCTGTCTCACACTTACCTACCAGGTGTCCAATATATTGAATGCTGAAGACAAATATCAACTTCATTACTGTCGCAAATTAATCGTTTTTGAAATATCTGATGGTTTTTAGTCGAGCTATATCACACTTCTAAGCCTCACCATGTAGGTTAGGACCGTGCGTTGGACAAATCAGGGGGTTTCAGGGGGCCCTGCCTCCTTGAAGTTTAAAAAAATCTGGGAGGTTACGGGGGGGGGGGGGGGGGGCATGCCACTCAGTAGTTTTAACCCATAATTTGATATTTTGCTGTTAGGTTGGAAATTTTCTTTAAAATTATTGATTTGCGACAGTTTTAGTGGCTTTATGTGTGATCTGCGGCAAACAATACAGTTTGACCCCCTAAGCAGACAGTGTATCTGTGCGGGAGCAAAAGTAAAAATTTACCGAAATAACTATAATTGGTAGTGAGTGTAACATGGTCAAAAGTGGCGCTGTGAATTTGACCTGCTCAAATTCAATTACAAATTGTTAAAAAGTTTGTCGATTATGTCATTTCTGTTTGTGCTGTAAGTTAGTTTTATTAAATCATATTTTGCAGTGATGTGAATTTTATTTTTGTGGCATTCTGCAGTGAATTACAATCAATTAGTGAATTGTGTTCCTGGGGGTAAAAATTGTTCAACTGCAATGAATCGCACATTGAAGTACCATAGACTGTCTCTGAAGGAGCTTTGTCGGGTGTTTGGGCGTTTAAATTTAATTGTCAAACAACAAGCAATTACAGAAAGCCCCTATTATGTTAGACAATAGCAAGAAACTTTCTCTTGGATATTCCACTTAACCACTAACATTTGTATGTTAAATGTTTTACCGCGATTTCAATGATGAAAAGGAGTTGAATGTTAAGTCAGTTTAAGCTTCAAAAAAGCTGTTGAAGCTAGTTGTAACTCCAGGTGCCCAAAAATTGACAAGCGCCTGTTTCCGCTGCATCATGGCTCATATCTAAGGACAACCCTCCAGGTATCATCCAGCACAGATCCCGTCCGTAGCACTGGACATGATCACCTTGAACTTTCAACAGAAGTGTTGCTCGTTCGCAGAGTGGTGGCGACCAATCTGTTTTACCGTGGCACTCAGTCTTTCTCATCTGACACTACATTTCATTTTGCATAAAATCAGCATCACAAAAAAAAACCTCCCAAAAAAAGAAAAACAAAACAAGAAAAACCTTCCATTGAGTTGCTACATGGTAGAATCAGGCGTTCTTCAATTTTTGGGCATACATGTAGGGACAGTGCAATCTGAATTCAACTGACCTTCAATTTAGTTGAATTTGAGTGTTCGTTATATATATATAAATTTTATAATAAACATGAGGTTTTTATGTAGATATAGGCACCGAGCAAGTAATTTTATATGTATTTGACTTCCTCTGGTTTCAAATGAGAGGCCTTTTCTTTTCTTTGATATACCGTACCGAAGAAATGCTGGAAAATTCCAGGAAAATACACTGAACTCTACCAAGCGTACTCTGTAAAAGGGCTTATTCATTCAAATATTGAACGCCTGTGTCATCTATTATAACTACATATTGTTTTCTGAAAAAGTTCTATTACTGTTTAGAGCCTACCATACAGCAACGTTTGATTCCACAGTCCAGTGCGCAATTCATATGTTATATGTGTCAAGTTCAGTTTATCCTTGTGTAATATTGATCAATAACCGGGGATAATAAAATAACTGTGATGTTGCCGTTCCGGTTCCCCGCCTGGCAAGGACGGTTTGTGCCCCTCCCTCCAGACACACGCACACACATTCATACATCACATACATGTGCTGGCTGCCCATCTGATCCCGACACAGACTAAAACATGTGTGTGTGCTAACAATGCGTGTGTTGGTATGAAAAAATGCCTCTGATTGGTTGCATTTTATATTTAATATAAACATAGGCGTGAATAATAGTTCACGATACAGGTGCCAAGGATGGTTTTCAGGAACCGATAAGGTTCGTTGCGGGGGAATAATGAACCAAGCCACATCAGCGTGGGCTGTTCACCCTGCAAGTGACTTCATTTGATCTGAGCTTGCTTATTTACGGTGTTTGTTGAATCCGACTTGTTTTTACTGATTTCATTTTTAAAAAAGGGGAATCCAACTCCTTTAGATGAATCAAGTTCCACTGTATCATCTTAAAGCTTGTTCATTTGCCTTGCTTTTGCTTTAAAAAATTACCCATCTACCTGGTATGGTAGTCAAGATATTTGCGATTGAAGGAGGTGGGGGTCACCTGGTTTCAGAGTTTAAGGGGGTTCGATACTTACAGGACAACATTTTTAACTAAAGACAAACTGAAACAACTTTTTTCACGGGCAGTAAGTATGAGACAAAAAGATTCATGTTCAACTGTTGACCCACTGGATTACATAAGCTGTTGCCATGGAAAGTTTTTTACCTTTTTAAAATCCCGTAACTTAACAAAATGTCCCAAATAAATAGGTGCATGCAGCTGGCTATTTAATTAGCTATTTTGATTTGTGATACTATACTTAAAAAGTATCCAAAATTGTTCTCAAAGTTGTGGGGAATGAATTTGATTTGTAAAAAATAGTTTTGGCTTGAAAAAATTGTAAAAGACTAACCAGCCACTTCAAGTACAAACCATTTCTCTAACTACGTGCCAAGTTTCAAGTCTCTGTGTTGGAAAATAAAAAAATGGTGGAGGAAAAAAACGGCACACAAGCAAAAAGTGATGATAAAATGTGTTTTGGGGAAAAAAACCAAGGTTAAACATCGAAAATGTTAGTACATAACGTAGAACATAGTAAAATTGAATTCTGTTATTGTCAATCACTCAGGGACTAGTGTCAATAAAATCTAGACTAAATGATAGATCGGAAAATACCCAAAGTAAAAAGTGCTCAGAGTGAGGGAAAATCAGCCCTGGAGGCCCTAAACCCGACCCGCGAGCCCCCTTAAATTAAGGAGTGGCCGCCAAAGTTTTAAGACTTATAAAGCTTGAGAGTCTTTGGAAACTGCAAATTTACATTTTTTGTGCATTTAAACGCTTTTCAGTAAAATCCACACAAAAACGTGTTTTTAGATGTTGAGCCAATAAACAAAAATTAAGTAACAGTTGCCAAACCGGCGGAAAAATGCTGTTTTCTTTGATTTAATTATTTTGACAAGTACCTGATTTTACCACAATGTCTCACATCTTATTTCAGGCTTGTTTCAAACGCTCCTGGGATGAACACAAGAAACTTCACAAGTTAGCGAGTAAGTGCTCTAGTTTATTACCACAGGACAAGGGTACAGTACAGACGTCATAAAACATGCAAAACAACTGTTATAATGTTTTGTTCATGCTGGGGAAAGAATGCATTGGTTGCTTCTTCATTTTGCAAACATAGGGGGGGAGGGGGGGGATTTTCTCGTACAGTGACATTGGCACTACTTTACTTTAGCATTGCAGGAGCTTAGATAGTGGGTTTTTTTAATGAGAGATTTTCAGAAAATACAATCTATGTGTGATATTTAACTCATCATCATCATCCCGTGCCAGATCTGCGACAGACATCAGTGATCATGGTTTTCAATTCATTCCTTTGCTTTCAAAAAAGCTACGTTTCCCTGATCTTTCCCTGTTACCCATTTGTTTAGGTTCCCTAAGAAGTATGTTGTTCTGGGCCTACCCCTGCCTCGCTTGCCCTCAATTTTGCCAGTGAGAGCTAGATGTTCAAGACCCTTATATGTCTGTTCAGGTGTCCCAAAAACTGCATTCGTCGTTTCCTGATTGTTTTTAACATTGAGCATCCCTCGTGGGCTTCATCAAGCACTACCTCATTTGATTTCTTTTCCTTCCACGATACTCTCAGCAGTCTCCTAAGAAACCACATTTCTGTTGCTTCTATTTTATTTTCACTGTCTTTAGTGGTTGTCCAGCATTCACAGCCATATAGAAGGGTTGACCAAACATAGCATTTCAGGACTTTCATTTTGGTGTTCATAAGGACCTTTTTGAGAATCTTGGAAGGCCAATGACATTTGTCAAATTGTATGGAAACAGTGTGTATTATGCACTGTTATTTTATATTAATAACATTGGTTTTGTGTGCCAGGTATCAGCCCACATCTAAAGACTTAAATGGACAGTCGTCGGTCGCCTGATATAATTCGTGAATTTCACTATTTTTCGGGAAAAAATTTTTTTGTCATCTTGAAAATGCTTGGTGAGATATTTGTCCCGGTAAAACTGTTTTTCAATTATCTCAACTCAAACGTGTAATCTGACGTAATCTGAAAAACATCGTGCCCCAAAAGTCACCTCTGAAGAAACCGTGAATTCCACACCTGTGTTTGTGACTCGCAGGGCTGACTGTTGGCGACATGAACGCTTCTGGAGACCATTGAAATATCGACGCGACTGCAAACACAATCGTCCGTCAGTATTCATAGTTTCCGGGCCATGTATTATAATTTTATGATGTTGTCAGCATGCATTTTGCTGGGAAAAGCTCTCGGTCATATGATTAATAAAATTTGTGCTTCATAGTTGCAGGACCGGATTGTTTTATTTCACAATGACTGTCAACTTTGGATATGTAATGCGAGTGTCCTACTATAATGCAGTCAAAAATGAATGGTGCAACTTATTGTCAAATATTTCCTATAACTACTGGACATAAATTTTTCACAATGACTTATAAATTTGTCTTAACAGATCAATATTTTTGTAAACACCTGTTACCTGTATTCTAGAAAATTCCTTCTTAATAAATACCAGTAAAAATTCCAGTGGATAGTTTCTACAGATTTTAAAAGGTTTACAGCTGGGACGATATCGCTTTTAAAAGCAAGTCTTGTCATTTTTTTCTTATTGCAACATTATGTATATTGATCGTACGATTTGAGAACCTTCAGTGCGAAAAGGTGTTCACAATAAAATGAATTTCTTGTTCTGTAACAAGTTTTGACACTAAAAAGTGTCATTGGTTAGCTTTGACATAAGCCTTATATATGCAAAGTGCGTGTGAGAAGCGGGAAGTGCTGTGAACAATCCCATTTTCTGCGTGACGGAAATGTGTAGTAATTTATACATAAATGACAAAAAAATTATAATCTAACCTCAATTGCTCACCATTTATTCACCCGTTAAAGAAATATTTCATAATAAGTTGCGCCACGAATTTTGAACTTCACTATAGTAGTAGTTCTACAATTTCATTCCTGCTCATTTGCAAAAAAAGTAGCTTACTAAAGTATAAATTGCAAATGAAAGTATTTTTCCTGTGTTGCTTTACAGTCCCAACTCGTTTAACCTTGAAAGAGCATTATCATGATATCATAGTACCCAAACGAAAAAAGGAATGAGGCGAAGTTGAGCAACTTGAACCGCTTTAGACATCAAAGAAAGTGGCAGAACATCCATCTTGTTACGCCAGCAAGGAAATAGTAGAAGAATCAGTTCTTAGTGAAAAAATAAATATCATCTAATAAAGTACACGAATCATGGAAAAAAGTATCTGTGACTGGGCTCACCCATTGTTAAGTGCTGTAGAAGAGCCCATGCTGGTTGAATCATTGCCTGCCTCACCCTGGACTGACAAACACTTTCCACTTTTCCTTGTCCTGGGCTGGCTTCTGAACATTATTCAAATGTCTTTCCACTTTTCTGTACATCATTCACTGTTACTTTTCGACAGCTTCCACATGGCCTTCTCTTCAATCGCTGAACTTGTAGATTTCAGTCTACCACTTTCTTTGTTATGTAGCTGTCTGATTCTAATCCATCTCTACTGCTTTCTTTTAGTTCTATTTGAAATAGTTCCTCGTTGGTGACGGTCTGCACATCAGATCCTGAGTAACCGTCTCGGGAACTTGTTGATGACAATCTGGATGCTACAGTATTTTGTAAAGAGTGCTTTAGAAGAGCCCAAGCCCGCTGCACCACCAAACAATCCACAAGGGGCGAGCAAGCCAAGGAGTTTCTGTCCACATCAAATCTGTAGGAATGCTTCCGAGAGTTGCCTGCCACTATTGCCAGCAAAGCTCTAGATTTATCTACTGTATCTTGAACCCTGTTTTTGTAATCTGTCGGAGCTTCATAATTTTTACGAAACGGCCTTCAATGGTCATGAACAATCTGCCTTATGAGTGCAAGTACATTTCAATGTTCAATCTATAAGCAAAAACACAGACGGATGTGATTAGTGTGTGAGTTTTGTGTCTGGCAACATCTCAGCCAGTCAGAGAGGGAATCTCACATATCAGAAGAGAAAAGGCGAAAGAGAGACACCATGGATTAAACTTTACTCCTGAGCAAGAAGACCTTATGATGATCTGCATGGAACTTCAGGGTGTACTTTTGGCACTTTCTGTTACTTATTTCCTCCTGCTCTTATTTCAAAAGAATACACATAATCTTCACTGTGACGTTGCACGGTGCCATTTGTTACGTACTAGCTAAATACCCGGCTTTGCTCGGGGTCGACGCCTTGGCGTCACTGCTCCTACTGGTCTACGCCAATGAGACATTTTACATCTACATTGCTGTCTAGCCTTTCATAGTCACACCTGGCTTCTAGATCTATATAATTGCTTTAGATTAGGTTTGCCTTGATTAACCTCTCTCTTGATCTACATTGCTTTAGTCTATTGCTGTTTAGCCCTTCACAATCACAAAATATGGGTTTCGCCTTTCAACGTCACAAAAAAGCACTAAGAAAATAATATTCCACTAAAGGGCTGCTACACTGTAAAAGGAACACACGGACATTTTCAAAATCACAGAGGCAATGTCTATAGCTTGTTCACTTTACTCTGACAGTGTTAAGAAAAATTATAGCTAGCTCATTGACAAATTGACTTGTGCCCATGAAACTTTGCATGGCACTTCTACAGGCTAGCGACCAAACAAAAATATGTTTTACCATTTTATACTTGTTTTGTTAATGCTTTAGAATTAAATTTCAGAGGTTTCAAATCGAGATGAGAAAGATGGTCAAGGATTGTATAACCCATATCCAGGGTTTCGATTCACTGGATTGTTACGGCCTGCACCTCTGGTAAGTCAATAAATTAAAATATAATGTCAGTGTTGATAAAGTAACATTGTAAGTTGTTGGGTCTTTCCCTTGTTTGACATGCTTCATGAGTATTTACCGAAGTAACATGAAAAGTTACTGCATTGGGTGTACCCAGTGATGATTGTTCAAAGGACAAAATGTGGCAAACTCTTAATATCCAGAATTGGTCTCAATTGCCGTAGCAGAAGTCATAAACCATCTTACTCCTTTAAATGAACTTCTTTTCTCTCTCTCAAGAAATATTCTACTTTTCAGATACTTTTGTCATTGTTAGACATTGACAAAAGGACAATTATTCTTTATATATTATTTTATTTGTTCAAAGGGAAAGGGAATGCAAAATACAATCTTTTAGAGCTTTGGTGCATAATTATTTGTAAAATATATACACTGAATTTTTTTCTTTTTCTAGAGTGCTACAAGGACAGTACCAGACAATATAATGCGTCCAGATTATGCTAATCATCCAACAGGTAAAATGCTTTATTTTCTTTTATCATCAGATACATTTGAAAAAAAAAATGAAAAGGAAAGTATTAAATGGGAAGCATTTTCAATCTTACAAAGATATAGGAATGTTTTTTCGATGTGCTTACCACGTTTTCTAAGATATAGATATGACTTACTTTTTTTGTTGTATGTACGTGTTTAGCTAACATAACTGTATTTATATGATGGAAATATAGGCCCCATTTCTACTGTCACTCTGCAGACCAGACATTGATGATTTTGCAAAGCACCTTTTTTGTTTATTTCAAACAGATAAAATTTCTACATGTCTGAGTGTGATCTTTCAGGTGTGTCTGAGAGTGAAAAGCAGATGAGGGGAACTACCAACATCAGAGTTCTTAATGATGAAGAACAGGAGGCAATGAAAGTTGTTTGTAAGGTATGAAAATCTGCCGTATATTTTGATTATTTCTTCTTATATTCTTTTTTAGTGGCTTAGATATGTTAAACGTTATACTTACAGAGGTTTATTTTTACATAGTCGACTACAGATCAGTTGATGTTGTATGGAATGAAATCAGTTGATGTAGTCGGGAATTTAAAAAAAAGATCAACCAATCAAGTCACCTTTTCAACTTGACCCTCGGAACCACAAAACCAAGGAACAAAACAAAATATTTTCCCTGCCTCATAATTTTAATTTTAGTAGGCTACTTTGATAAAAATTGTGGTGACAGGAAAGGTTACCAAGCAATATATGTATTCACGTCATTAATCATCGTGTGCTCACGTTTGTGTGTGTTGTGCGTGTGTGTGTGTGTGTGTGTGAGAGAGAGAGAGAGAGAGAGATGGCGGAGTGGTTGCAAACGTGTACTTACGGCTAATACTAACAATACACGTGTACTAACATGTACCTCTGCGAAAAACTCACTCTTTCGCTTCTGCTGATTACGTCGTATTCATAAGTACGATAAAACTGTCCCTTTTTGCCGTATTCTTTATTCTCACAGTGTGTTATGTCGGTTATAAACGAACTTTAGATCTCTAAATTCCCTTACAAAGTGAACATTATGAGCAAAAAGATTTTACACAGGAACATTTTGGACATAGGTTTTAAAGCCTTCAGAAAGTAAAAGTTGCACAAATTTACAGATGAGAGTGCATTTTCAGGCGAGTACATGTTATTCAGCATTGATCGGCTCTACGTAATTGTACTTTTACGTTTAAGTTTCACTGGTGTCAAAACTGCTCTCAAACGTCAGAAGTTACACAAGAAAAACCTAAATAAAACCAATACAACAGTTGCACCTTACAACCTTGCTCTGAAGGATTATATCTTCGGGTTCTTACTGCAGCTGGAAAATCTGTGCATTTATCTTGAAAACTGAATTTAATTATGAATGTAGAAAAAAATCTGTATCAGAGCAAAACTTTTTTCAAATCTGTCTAGGTCTAGATAACTGGTCAGTACCGTTATGAGGATTTTAGTACTGTCTTGGTGATTGTATCGTCAAGATCAGTGGTCCTGGATTTGCCTACTGTCAATGGTGCGATGACTAATTGAATAGTGGCAATGGAGAAATGCCATTTTCAACACTCTGAAAGCTTTGAATTTCAATTCTTCCATGGCTTCGACTCTGACCCCCACCGGACCTTGCTTAGGGCTTATGCTGGTGGAAAAAAGCAAAAAGAAAACCTATTTTTAGGTGCATTTGAACTTGAACTGCCTGACACGATGCTGGAGGATAAGATCTGGAAACTATCTTTTATGATTAGAATGTTGTGCGGTATAGCGCTCCTATTCCTATGTTGGACGCCTGTTCATCATGGTAGTTTGTTACTTATTAAAACTGGTTCTGTGATTTAATATTTTTAAAAAATCAATACTTAGTCCATGATGCAGTGATAGCCAGATTTTCAGTACCACTACATTCCACGCTCTCAAAGTCCTTCCAGTTCCAGCTCTCAGTACATGCTCTCTTAGCCTATTATATCTATAAAGTTTTTCTTAGATAAGTTTTGTCTTGCATGCTTTTTAAATCACGCGAATGCAGAAACCCAAACTTGGTTTTGACAGTTGATGTTCTGGCCTTTCCACAGGCCCAGATCAAGATTCATTTTTTTAAAAAGTTAAGAGCTAAACTAGTTAAAATTGTCCGTCATACCTGTCACACAGGACTTATCTGTGCCTTATGCTATTGTCAGAAAATATGTTTTAATATAGTTTAGTCCCCCCCCGTTGGTCGGTGAAATATAAATAGACCCACTACCCCGTCTGTAATTAAAAGATCTATTCTCCGTTGTTGATCCCAACAGCATTCTTGATTTTATGAAGGCCATTGGCTTTAACAAGAAACTGTAAATATCGTAAAATGTTATTTTAACACTTTCCCTACTGCGAGTCGCGGCGACTCGCAGACCTGGCTTTGCTGGAACGAGAGCCGCAAAATACGGCTCGAGTGGCTCGCTATATACTCTAATCCAGTAATGAAATTCTCGGCCGATCCAAGTTTTCAAAATAATAGAATAGACTTCCTGTTAGCAGATACGAAAGAAAATATAGCTCTGAGAGACGATTTTCAGTCATTTCAGAGCTTTTTTTGTCCCTTCGAAACGTAAAATTGAGAAGAAAAGCGCTCTCCTGACTTCAGTATATGTCTCATATTTTTATTTCTATATTAGGTACACATACATAACTTTCAGCATTTCTTAGCAGTACTTGAGGCAACCTACCTGGGAAGTTTGAATCATGCTGTTGTTGTACTTTTTTAGATATGCCCTTTCAAAGCTGGAAAATTGTTGATTTCATATGACACCTTCAATATTGCCTAATCACTTTTAGAAACCCCAAACTTATATAATTGGAATAAATCTTCAATATTGTATCACCATCTGATAGATTATTTTTTAACTTTCAGTTTGATGGGCCATATGATATGGTTTGAGTGTGTTTAGCTGGATGTTTTGATATTTTCCTGTGGTGGGGTAGGGGCGTAAAAATAGCCCAGGGAAAAGCCCTGGGCCAGTGGTGGATTTTGGCCTGGTAGGAAAAGAGTTAAAACTGAGATTTTTACCATAAATTTTTAATATTTCAAAATAAACATTGACCAAAATCAAGCTGTGCTGTGAACTGCTGTGAATGCAACCAACTTGTATTTCGCTCTCTATGACCTTATGCAGTTGCATGCGCCATAAAACTCTAACTAAACTTAAGACTAACCAGGAGTAAGGTGAACGTGTATTTGAAAAAGTTCCTACACTTTTACTTTGTGAGTGATGCTGTACTGTATATTTTGGTCAGTCGGGAAATATTTTTTAAAAAACCCCCAAAAATACCATCATGTTTGAAACTTAAAGCAATCGGGTGTGGTGTGCTGGTAGATATTCTGTTAACCCTATCCATACGTCTTATTTTACTATCGTATCCATACGACGTGGGGAACTCTGTGCTACCACTTTAAAAGAGGAAATTTACTTGTAAATCCGATCCGAACGCTTTGCATAGCAGTCTGTCAAAATGAATTTTTGAGAAACACTGAAAGTTTCAAAGAAATCTTTGTATTAGAAGTATTCTCTAAAATGTGAAGAATCTGTCCTCGTCAATTTATGCAAGAAAAGATCTGAAATTATGCAAACTGAGCTTTAAAAATGTGAAATTGTGCGATTCTGTTAATTTTAACAAAGAATGAGAAAGGAAAATAATCAGAAATTATGCAAAAAATGATCAAATTTTGCTAAATTATGCGAGGTGCATAAAACAACGGGGACAGAAGAATACAACCCCGGGGGTACAAAATGATCCCAGGGCGTATGTATAGGGTTAAGTAATCAGGATCACAGGCAGGCTTTTGGTGAGTTCTGTTCCATCCATATCTTCTGTTTTTGACAGATTCAAGCTCACAGCCCATAACTTACACGCCCCGCCTCTCCTTTTTTTTCTCCCTCAATTGACAGTGAGGAACCCACCAAGACCTCTTTCACTATTTGTATTTGTCACATTCATCCTTGAACTTAAATTCTCTGTCCTCGACACCTCAGGGAAGAAGACTATCTATGGAGATATTACAAATTTTTACTTTTTTATTTGTTGATTACTAAAACATATATAGTATATATGCTGGTTGTTGGGCAGCCCCAGGGATGGTACCAATTTGGTTGGTAATTGTTTTTACTTCTTTTCTGTAATATTCTGCTGAAGTTCATCATTTCTTTGATTCCATTTTAACCACTTTATGTTACATCAAACAGATTTTCACTTGTTTGGATCCAAAACAATTTGGACAACTGTTTTCATGTGTTTCAGCTAACTCGTGAAATTCTTGATGTAGCGGCGGATGCCACAGCTGTTGGCATCACGACTGATGAAATAGACAGATTGGTGCATGAGGTAAGACATTATGCTGTTTCTTTCATCCCGTATGCTTTTCCTCCTTATCTCTGTGCTTCTTTTAAATTGAATGTACCCCCCGGGGCGGTGCCACTGACTGAAGTGTCTTTAGGCCTTTCTCAAAGGGGGGACATTTCTTGTTCATATGCACAGTAGAATTATAAATGGGCTGATTCATCATGTCACGCTCATAACTGTGCCTGATCTGCAGCAGGGAACTGCTGCTTTTTCTTTCCTAATCCTTACTATTGTCATTTTTCCTCTACTTCTTTTGTATGTTTGTCACTCTCTTGTGACCTGCTATTTCCGGGGTGCCTCGATAGTCGAAGCAGACCTTGTGCTGTTGAAGCTAGAGAGGTGAGCAGAGTAAGTCTGATTCCCTGGAAGGACTTCTCTGTTGACACCCACCCCTTGGCGCTCATATGACCTTATGCAGTTGTGAGCGCCGTAAAACCCTCTACTAAATAAATGTCTTCTATCATCTTTCTTCCTTCTTCTTTTGTCCTTCAACGGGGGGTGTAAACCCCCCCCCCCCCCGCCCCACTGGTGGGATGCCACTCATATGTCACTAGCTCTCTGACGTTGGGGTGGCATCTTTTGTCCGCTCTTGCTATGTCTTCTGTCCATCTATCTCTTTCTTTCCGATCTGCCGACCGAAGGTCCGGTCAAGAAAAAAATCGACTCCAAATTCCTGCAACGTGAGGCACCCTGTTGACCGTGGGGTACGGCCCGTATGACCAGAGAAGGGGACCCTGGTGGCTGAGGTGTGGCTTCCCTCACAAACACTCCACTTTGGCCCTGGATTCGGTCTAGACAGGCGGGTGCAGCGGCCTACTGCACTCAACCGGTTATGACTCGTTCATTGAACTGGTTATTTGGCCAATCTTGGTTGGAAGGCGAGATTTCTTGCCGACCATTTGGGAGTATGCCTCCAGGGTAGCCCTGACACCAGCTATGGACTTCCGAGGGGTGTCCCCTTGTCTAGCATCTGCGTTTGTTGCCATTTTTTTGTCCAAAAGTTGCCACAAAAATTGAAAAAGTTTCCATAAAAGTTGCCATTAATTTTCAAGCTTTCAACTCTGTGAAGAAGTATACAGCAATACGTTGATAGAGGCAACTTAGCCTAAAGCACCAGAATTTCTTGTACTCTGTTTTAAGCATCCAGAATATCATTTGTAGCCACACAGAGTGTAAAAACGTGAAAAATAAAGGTTTAACAATAGAATGAAATCAAAATTAGAACAGCACTAAAACAACCACAAAAATTATAAGTATAAGGACGTGCGTCCATCTACCCGAAGATTGGCCATTTTAACCCTAATTCAAGAAAAAGTACAGGATATTACATGTAAATTATGGAATGACACAAAAGGGGCCCGTGTCAGTACATGTGTTCGGTTTTGGTGGAGACACGCTCTACATAACACATTTATACATATATTTAAAAGGTAGGAACAACATCAAATTAAATTATATTTACACAAAAGCCTATATAAACACAAAAAGAAAGAAAAACAACACATCAGAACAATAACACGACAAAAAAATTAACACACCAACAAAGTGAAACACAACAAAGTGGGAACAATAAAAGAGAAAAAGCAATAAATAAATCTAAAAGGATGTAGTGTAGTAATATTTTTCACACGAAAATAACAAATCAACATGGTGTCAACAAGTGAGAAAGCGACGAAGTAAAAATTAACTTTCTTTCTAAAAGTAAATTAGGCCTACTAAAGAGGTTCGTTTTTTTTTCTCCAATATTTATTCCCTTTTTTTAAACGTTTTTCCCCCTTGGTGGTGTTATTTAATTTTTTTTTTTAATTTTTTTTTTTCAAAACACAAAAATCGCGGCCGCGATTAGCGGACTAAAAAATGCCAAAAAAGGCGGCCGCGATTCGCGGGTCGCCTCCGCGACAAATGCAGATGCTAGCTTTGTTGGACTCAGTGGCGGGTGGGGAGCCCTGGACTTGGAGATGAATAAAAACGTAAAATACATGGATCCAATAACAAAAAGTTCTCCCACCCCAATTCCCAACAAGTCCCGGACAGGAGAAGCAGGTGCAACTCCTGGCTTGGGCAAGAGAAAGAAGGACGTTTCGGGCGTCAGCATCTGGGACTTACTGAAAAAAACGTCATTGGGGTGGTCACCATTTCTGGTGGTCTCCCCAAAAGATGAAAAACAGGACATAAATCTTACAACACTAAGCATTTTCAAAATACACAGATCACTTAAAAGCTTTCGGTTTACACAAACCAAAATACATTAAAAAACTAGGATCCACGGGCCTCCTGATACAGGTCAGTTCCAGTGTAGAATCAGGCAAACTGTTGGCCTGCACCCTGTTTGGTGGCATCCCTGTATGTGTTCAACCTCACAGAAGTCTGAACTCATCCAAGGGTGTCATCAAAAGCCGAGAGCTCTGCGGCTGTACGGAAGAAGAGATGGTTCAGGAGGTGGATGGAATTGTCCATGCTCGTCGAATCAAAGTGCGGCGAGATGGCAAGGAAATCTGTACCAACACGTGGATCCTTACCTTCAACACACCCACACCACCAACAAAATTAGACATCGCATACCTAGAACTAGAAGTAAGACCATATATACCGAAACCGATGCGCTGTTTCAACTGTCAGCGCTTCGGACACACACAGCTGCGCTGTCGTCGTGGTGCAGCGTGTCCTCGCTGCGGCAAGGAGGGACACTCTAGGGAGGCCTGCTCTGCAGATCCCTTGTGTCCAAATTGTCGACAGGGGTTCACTCTGCATTTTCAACGGAGTGTCCAAAGTGGTGTCAAGAGAAAGCCATCCTAACACATAGGGCCCAGTACGGCGGAACGTTCGCTCAAGCAAGAGCAACGCTTTGCCCAAAAGGATCGACACAGAAGAATACAACAAAACCGTATTCAGAAGTCCTGAAGACAGTCCCAGGGTCAGTAAACCCAACCCGAAAGGTACTTCAGACAAATAGACAAAGGCAGAATACCTGCAATAAACGGAGACGGAGGAGGACATGGAGTCCACTTTCTCCCCTCCAACCTCCCACTCTCCATCCGCCATCTCCCCACACCCCCTCTTCATCACCACCCTTTCAGCCATCTTCTTCATCCTCACCCCCCTCATCTTCCTCACCCTCGTCATTCTCATCATCACCCCCATCATCATCTTCACCCACAACATCCTCACCATCATCATCCTCACACAAATCACCACATCCTCATTGCTTCAACCTCCATCTCCCTCACCTCGCCCACATCAACCTCCATCCCATCGCCCTTCATCCAATAAAGCCCCTCCACCCACTCCGCGCACCTGCTCCCCCTCCTCTACCCGCATCCGGGACTCCGGTCCTCCCCCCCCCCCTCACTCTCCTTTTAAAAAAGCTGCGGTCCTCCGTGACCGCAGCCAAACAAAACAGAGACAACGGTCACCTACGACCAAAAAGAAATGTACCGAACCCGTGCCCTCAAAATGAATAAAAATGGCAGTTCTTCGGTGGAACATTCGCGGTTTGCGTGCAAACCAGGCAGAACTCTCCCATCTTTTGACCTCACACACCCCAAATGTTATCTGTCTGTCTACAAGAAACTAAATTGCCAACACCCACATTCACCATAAAAAACTATCAAACTTACAACCAAATATACACCGACAACCAAATCTCCTCTGGGGGCAACTCCATTTTAATAAGTAACCAAACACTACACAGACAAATACAACTAAACACAACAGAACGATCTCCAAGACATTGATTTTTCTAAAGACATAAAAGTTTTTTGCCATGTCCAGCATACCTCCATGGCATTTAACCAAACCAAACATAGATACTAGTCTTGAAAAAACACAACAAAAAGTATACAGACAAAACTACATACGTAAACTCATACAAACAGCTAATAAATAGATAGGTACCCTGAAGCAGAGAAACTCTTTACAGACGGATCCAAAAATGACTTCTCAGTAGGAGCTGTTGCCCTTGCATCGCCACACAGCTTAAGCTTAAGGAAACTCCACCCAGAAGCCTTAGTCTACACTGCTGAGGCTACAACTCTTGAAATGGCCCTAAATATAATAGATCAATCTACCAAGTCTACTTTCCTAATCCTTTCAGACTCTCTCTTTTGTCTCAAATCTTTAGAGTACTCTGACACCTACGACAACAGAATTTTAAAACTTATGATTAAGCTGCATTTTCCACATCAGTCTGAAAGAACTATTACAATAGCTTGGCTTCCAGGCCATGTAGGCATTGATGGCAACGAAGCTGTTGACCAATTTGCCAAAGAATCTCTAAAACTACCTGAAAACAAAAAAAGTAAAAATCCCTTTCTCTGACATGGAACCGAAAGTAAAAGAACACATCACTTCCTCCTGGTGCCAAATTTGGAATCAACAAATACACAACAAACTCCATTACATTCAACCGAAACTTGCGCCCAGGAAACCCCTGTCTCTCCCACGAAGAGAAAACGTAATTTATACGAGATTAAAAATAGGACACACGCACGTCACGCACAAACATTTACTTGAAAGAGAGGAAGCTCCTTTTTGCGTGGCATGCAACACATTCTTCACGGTTCAGCACATCCTAACGGAATGTGTCGAATTTAATGATGTACGTACGAAATATTTTAAACGTAAAGATGTCAAAACTCTTTTTAACATTGTTGACCCTAGTAAAATTTTAAGTTATTTTAAAGAAATAGGACTATTTAATAGGATATAAAAATGTATGGTTGTCGTATATATATATACATACACTGAAATTAATATTGTACATGTATATACAAATGTAAATGAGTCTTTACCATATTTACAAAATTTTTCATAAATGTCTGTCCGTCCTTTAAGCATAAATGAGAATAGTTTGACCGTGTGCGGTTGCGAGCTCGGAAAGACTCTTACTGAAACATGTCTGATTTTGTTGCGGGAAACCTGTTGGCGCTTAAATGACCAAAGTTCTGTCAATAGTGCCGTAAAACACCTAATCAATCAAAAACACTCTTGTGACCCGCTATTTCCAGGTGCCTTGAAAGTCAAAACAGACTTTTGTGCTGTTGAAGCTAGATATTTGAGCAGAGTGAGTTTGATTCTCCCTGTAAGGACTTCTCAGTTGACATCCATCCCTTGTCGCTCATATGACCTTATGCAGTTGCGAGCGCCGTAAAACCTTTACTAAATACAAAATAAATTATAAATTGAATGTGACTCAAACTGTGACATGGTGGATGGTTGATGAGGGTTTTGTTTGTTGCCCGCTGTTTCCTTTCAGTGTTTCTATATTGTCCTATTTTTATCTCTTGCTTTGGCAGCAATGTTGCATTTATCATGCTCTCTAATCAAGGGGCACTATTCAGTACTACTCATGGAGCAGGAAGAACCTCAAGGGAGGCAATTGTATCAACTACATGTGGGGGGGGGGGTACTGCTCGGGGGGCTTGAGTAGGCTGCCGCTGGCGAGTAATGAGCTCCTGATTGCACTCTACTCAGCACTAACTAGAACCCCTCAAATAACACAAATCATTAAGTCTTACATGCTTCAAGATGGTGAAACAGAAGAAAAAGACATAAGAATGCACATGTGTTGATTGCAGGCCAGAGAGAGGCATTGCCTGTTTGCCTACATTTATCACGTACAACAATATCTTGCACATGGTGTTCAGGCTTAGTGACACAAAGATAACGTATCTACATCTATGGCATGACCTTTTCAAGGCTAGTTCATATCAGTACATGGTGTATTTCATAACGTCACTGGCTATTGGGCCTTTTTTCTCACTTTTCTGTCAACTACGAGGTCTATCTCTGAATAAAGTCTCCCTCCTTCATAAAATAAAACGTATGCAACCAACAGCCACTAAATTTTGTGACATCATGACGTCATGTCAAGAAATCTCGATGCTAAATTGCAATTGCATTGGTGAACGCATCATAGAGCTGTGACGTGTCAAGTGTGGTGTACTTCTGCACTTTGTCCAAGGCAAATCCGATGAAAATGGCTGAGCTAAACATTGATGCAACCTTTTGATGCTATGATGTCCGAGTTGTGATCAAATCTTCAACTGTTCTCGGCAAATCTTCAGTTGAAGCCCATGGTGATTTATGCAAAGTAATGGGAATAATGCCCCATCAATTCAAACAGTAAGAAAGTGGATCAGGGAGGTTGAAGGTGGGAGGTCTGACCTGAAAGATGAAGTGCACACTGGGAGGTCCCCAGGCCAACAGACTTACTTAGCTCCTCTTGTACACTACAGTTTGACTCGACATTCGAAGCACAAGGTTATAAATGTTGTGATGTGATGTCATCGCATCACGGTGTGTCGTGCGTGATTAGAGCCAGTCGTGTAGCCTAGCCTACTTGTGGGGAGATCATCCAAAAGGTTTATACAGTTTTGTGGGGAGGCCTAGGTGCGATGGGGGGATGGCAGGCGGGGACAAATGAAATAAGAGATAGCATTATAAGCCGTGCTGGCTAGGCTAAAAATACACATTACACATCTTGCTGTTACACTCACATTGCCCTTTGTCTCAATCCCTGTTCCATTGTCTGTGCTCTCTCTTACTTAATGGCTGCATTGTAGATTGTTTGAGTACATTCTGTTCCCTTGCTTATGTCCATTTCAGGCTGGTTCTTTGATCGCTGCACCGTTGTGTAATTTTAGAGATTGCATTGTCTGACCTTCAGACTGCAAATTTGCATTCCATTTGTTTTATTTATTCAAAATTATATGCATAATTTGTAGTGTGATTATTAGGCCTATTATGCTGCCAACAGAATTCTCTTGAATCTTTTAACCATTTATTGCTTGAAGTCTTTGCTTTTATATGTAAATCTGTGCAGTTAAATTTAGTGTGATTTGATCAAATTGTACCATGTCAAGCAAAAGCACGGGAAGTGTTGTTTGGCTTTTATTTGAGAGGATTAATGAAGTAAAGCAACCAATAAAAAAAAAACCCCACCAGAAGTCAATACATGTTAGAGATGTATTGCTCACCGCTCACTCGGTAAAAAGTTTTTCTCTTGTCCAAGTCCCTCCCCTTCACCCCCC